GTTTGCGAGCGCTGAATAATATTCAGGGGCAACGAAGTCATCCCGTATTGAAAGCGCTGGGCGAAACGCCACGCATAATTTCCTCGTAACTTAACACCGAATAACGTAGTAAAAAAAAAAAAAAGGATGGAGCTTCCAGGAGTTCCCGCGAAACGGCGTCAAACGCAGGTGTCGCCATCTGGTGCGGCAAAAACGAAAACCAAAGGCCTAATGAGGCGGTCCTTGATGACGTTGGAGCTCGTTTACCGTCCATGATTCACAGTTCATCGAGCAGACAAGCCGATCCAATCCACAAGAAAAAAAAAAAAGAAAAGAGAGAAAAACCGTTATAACCTCGAAAACGAAACTGCGAACGCTCCGATTTTCCGCATCGGCTTGGCTACGACGCTTTGCATCGCAAAGCGATTGACGCTTAGATTCGCGGCGTATGCATAAGTTAGTTTCATTACCTTTATTTGCCATCGCCTGATGCTCGTCGGGAACCTGAATTCGTTTTCGCGCACCGAGGCGTACGGGACTGCGGCAGCAATCCGAACTTTGTCGCCGATAGACCTTTAACCGAATTGCCCAAGTTGCAAGGGGCATGCTTGCGAGTCAGGTTGCGTGCGCTGCACGTGTTCAGGTCTGCAAAATTATCAATAAAAGCAAGAAAAAAAAACACCTAAAAGGAGTTTTTCTTTTTGCGTGCGCGTTTGTCAGCGCTTTGATTTTAGTTACTAAATGCGATAGCATTTTTTTGAAGGGGCGGTGTAATGGTAGTGAGTTTGAATGTTTTTTTCGCTTTACACAAGCTCAATGGCACTATCTCACGGACAACTTTCTATGGATATGCAGTCCAGGCTATAGACGCACGTGCGCTCGTGCTTCTTCAGCGCCGATCAAAGCTGCGCACGCCCACTCTTCACCTATCCTGAGATGCCACAAAAAAGTTGTTCGCGAGTAAATTCGCACGCAACGCTATTGACTAAAACGCTTCCCTGTCGCGGGGTAAATTAATAAAAAAAAAAAAGCTGTCTTTGTTATTTTTTTCCCCCTTTTGCAAAGCCCGATAACGTAACACGTGTATCCCAATGTTGACGTAAACCCCGGCGAATACTGTTGCCTCTTTTGTTCCGATAGCCGGAAAGTTAGTCAGCCCCAAATGTGCGTCTGGTGTCTACACCGTGGATAAGAAATGTAGCCGGTGCAACACTATATAATGCTAAGGCCGTGCTTAATGTGCACCACTGACACGAGCCCGCGCCGCTACTATACTGATTCAGATCGAAACGGGCACGGGTGGAGATTAAAGTAACACCACGTAGAAAACGATGCAAGGCAACTGGCACGACGCTATAGCACGTAGTGTCGCCATGACGACGCTACGTGCTATATAGCGGAGTGTGGTTTTTACGATATTTGGTTTTCTGAGAAAGAAGCGGAGCTTTTTGTCATTTGAAACATGTATGCGAATATATATATATATATATATATATATATATATATATATATATATAATTCACTTGCAAAACAAGAAAAAAAAAGAAAAGATGGTGTTCACGTTGCTCAGCAGCCGCGTATTTCAGCGACACCCATGTAGTGATATCCTATAAAGAAAGGATCTTGTGCTATTTGCTCTTTGTAAAATAGCCCTTTTAGCAGTTTCGTCGTGAGCTTTGTTTTATTTGTACAACGACTTTGGGTTTATACCTAGTGTGATTACAGGATTTAAAATACCATCATCATGCCAACACACCGGAAACCTTTTAATACAACTAGGAACCAAGCGCACCGTTGCCATGTCGCTCAACTCAATCGGGAAGTATCAGAGTTCAATATGTCTCGAAGGAAATTCTTTTCGTACGGGTAGTTTGGGCTTTCCTGACTATTTTTATGCTGGAATTACGAGAAAGTACTCGCGTCTTAAAGGAATGCTGAACTGAAATCTGGATTCCACAAAACACGGTGGCAGAAGCGTGCAACGGGACGCTACAAACACCGAAACATCACTCATACAGCGACATCTCGAATGGATGAGAGTATTTTTCTGAAAAAAGGAGGCGCATCTCACATATATGTTGACGTCGTTTCTCCGAGACGAGTCGAGAAGGAGAGGAAACGGCGTCGCGTCTTCTCCGCATCGCCACTTTGAGGTGGCAAAGCGAAGAGAGGAGGAAACGAGATATGTTGACGTCACGCGCCTTGTCGGGCTCGTTCAATCTCAACCTCTTTTTCCAAATTAAAGTACGGCCGTCCATTCGAGATATAGCCTTACGAGTAGTGTCGTACGGATTGTAGCGTTTCGCCTACTTCTCCGACATTGTTTTCTGAAATCCAAATTTCGCTTCACCATCCCTTTGACGATATGTAATACAAAACAATCCTCGACCTGAAAAAAAAAAAAAAATTTACTGCCGGTTAGTGCGAAATATGTTAAAACGTCATAGGAGCAGAGCTATACCTTTCCAGCGGAAACGAATGGACGACGAGAGGTCATTATTCATGGAGCACGCAGCGTTCGAGGCATATATGGCGACGGGAGCTCTCACAATCACGTGACACCTACGGTCCACGTCCCAGAGAGTCGCGGGCCCGTGTCTGAGACCCAATGCAGCTCCTGTGCGAACACTCGGCACGAGAACATGATATGAGCAGGGCTCAAGACCCGCGCGGATAGGAAACGAGCATATTAGGATGGGCCGGGGCTAAGGGGGCGGCCAGCTAGGGCTAATGACGTTCCTACTCTCCCCTTCCCTTCCCCCCCCCCCCCCTTTCAGACACACACACGTAGACATTCAGCAAACACTCGCTTGCGAGGGAACGGCGTTTACAGTAAGCCACTTTCTCGGCGGCGCGCGCAATTCGTCGCAGCGCGTGCGTGGCGGAAGTTGGGGCTCGTTTGGGTGAGGGAGGAGCAGAAAATCGTTTAATTAGCGAGCTCTAGCGGCGGACCCGCTGGCGACGTCGACAACGTCGACCGCCGTAAATGTTGCGCCTGCAGGAAGACTCCCGGCTCTGCCGATGACACGCGCAAGCATGGGGTGCCGCGAAGGCGCGCTGAATCGGCGCTTTTAGGCTCGAAAGAGCAGCGCGCGCGCTGCTGTTTCGTGAGAGGTTTTATTCGTGTTAGGGGGCGTATTTTGCGCGTGAGTTCTTTTGCAAATTGTGAGCAACTGTGCGTCGATTGTGGGCAACTGTGTCCAAACAGTCGCTTTTGAGTTGTAGGTAATTGGGATTATCGAAATCGCTTGAAGACTACTTACGGGCGCCTGTACGGTCCTGCGGTTTCTAACAGGTTACGAAACGCCGGATGTGGTGAATCTCATTGGCTACCGAACGATTACGTCGCTCGGCAGCCAATGAGATCGCAGCATTTGCCGATGAAAACCTCGAAGAGCCAATCGCGAAGCGAGAAACGTCACGCATAACGGGGCGCACCCCGCGTTCCTTAAACTGTCGGTGACCATTTACACGTGAGCATCTTTCGTGTGTATGCGGGTGTATATCAGATCTGTCCGTATACGCGTCTGCGTGTTCGAGGCACCGGACCGCCCGGTCCAATCACGAACCAGTTAGAAACCACGTGATGTGTGTATTCATTAAGCGCGAGTATACGCACACGTCGAAAACTCCGATAGACGCAAGTTAACCGGGACCAAAATTACCGATCGTCCTTCACCAGATCAATCTCAGCGTTCTTTCCAATATGCTTATACTATAGATAGTTTTAGAATAGGTTGCTCCGACGCCTTGTGTTTTCCCGAGCAGCTTGGGGTGTCAAACTGCGCAAGCGCGGTGCGAAGCCCCAAGTTGTTTGGGAGGGCCCAGAGCATCGGGGAAACCTCGTCTGAAACACGCCAATATTGCCACGCTCGTCGGCGAGCGACCGCGTGCGTGGCCGAGTGGTTACCGTGCTTGACTGTCGCGCGGAAAGTCTGGGTTCGATTCCAGTCAGTGGAATGCTCTTTTATTTGTTCTTTCAACATTGCGTTCTAGTGTGTTCGAGAACATTCTCGTATGATCGAGTTCTTAATGTTCCAGTCGCCGAACAATCTAGGCCGATTGTTCCAGAACCCAACGCGCGTACATAAGGGACTCCGCGTGCTGATCTGCGGTCAGTTTCGCCCCAGCGTTAGACTCTGCTGCTACGTCGACTTCGACGCCCGCGACGCTCTGTTATTATCTTTTGTACCCTTTTATTTTTAGTACAAGTTCGCTACATTAAACGTTTATTTCTTCCTGTGTATTTATTGTTTTTGGTCACCACCCGTGACAATATCACGCAGTTCGCGCGCGACTCAGTGCAAACGACCCATTTTGAAAAATTGGGGGTTCGAGAGCTATTGACGAACCCGTACACTATAACGCCGAGCGAAGAGCATTTGCTCTCTTCTGTATATGATGCTCACGCGCAGAACTCCTCCCTTCGAACCGTTACTTCGATCAGTGGTCTATTATGGTCCCGCCACATTAGGGCGACATCAACTGAACTTTGTCCGTCGACGAAAAACAAAATCAAATTTTTTTCGTGAATCGAGTTATTTTTTTTTTATCGTATATGTTCTAAAAATGCTAAATTGTAGTATAAGCAGAAAAAAAAAAACGGGGCTGTTTCCGCGGTAATTCTCTGCAGGCTACGCAATAGCATTGCTTGTCTTTAAATGAAGTTTACATTGCGCTCACTAAATGAAGGGTAACTAAACATAAAATGGCCGCACATTTTTATTCAGTAAAGAGGGTCTGTTTTTCTGCTTCCTTCCTTTCTTTACTTCTTTACCTGCTAAACGCTCAGCCGTCATGACGACGGCATTTTCTATGCCTCGTTTGAAGGTCATACGCTGTTCTCTTTCCTTTTTCGTGCGTCTCGTTGTCCCGAAAAACACGCAGGGCAGTTAATAAAATATACGCTTTTGTATTCAGAAAGTCCACAGTGAAAAGGTGCATTGCAGGTGTCAGTGATCAATGGCATTTTGGCGCTAAGCGCCAGCGAAGATTCACCGGATTTTATGTTCTCCCCGCAGGTGAAGATCTGGTTCCAGAACCGGCGGATGAAGTGGCGCAACTCCAAGGAGCGCGAGCTGCTCTCCAGCGGTGGCTCCAGGGAGCAGACGCTGCCGACCAAGAGCAACCCCAACCCGGACCTCAGCGACGTGTCGTCGCCGTCCCTGCACCCGTCCTCGACGACGGGAAACGGAGCGTCGTCGCAGGGCCCTACGTCGCCGCACCAGGCGCCCACGGCGGCCGCCAGCCTCGCCGAACACCTCCTCAGGGCGTCCAGGGACGAGGACGACCGCCAGTCAGCGGGCGATTCCGACGAAGACGTCGAGATCAAGGTGCTCTGAGGACGGGACAGCCGGTGCTTCGACGCGGATGCACGCTCCGATGTAGTGGTGATGGAGTCAGGCTCGCGCTGCCGAGCTTCGTGAAGCTATGGAGGCTGGCGGTGGTCTATGGAGTCTGCAGATTGTGAAGCTACAGAGACTGGCGGTGGTGTATAGTTGGTAGAGGTCATTGACCTCTATAGCTCGGGAGGCTCTAAGGACTGGTGGTGGCGTATGGTGTTCAGAGGTCAGCGACTTGTACAGCTAGTGAGGCCATGGAAACTGGCAGTGGTGTCTGTTCAGAGGTCAGTAACCTCTACATAGCTCGTGAGGCTGCAAAGACTGGAGGTGGTGTATGAAGTTTAGAGGTCAGTGACCTCTACAGCTCGTAAGGCTCTAAAGACCGGCGGTGGTGCGTGGTGTTTAGCAATGAGTGACCTCTGTAGCTCGTGGAGCTGTGAGGACCGGCGGTGGTGTATGGTGTTTAGAAGTTGGTGACATTGGAATCTTCGTGCCAAAAGAAAGAAAAAAAAAAAAGAAGCGTCCTTTCCGAACGGGTATACAGAATTTTTATTTGCATAGACTACGAGTAAAGTTGTGTCAGTGCTGAATCCTCTTTTGTTTTGGCGGTATGCCCTAGGATAATCAACTCACATGACGTCATGACAAAGAGGGGGTTAGCTACTGGTGGCTGCGCGCCAACTTAATTTCGGTTCGGGTCTACGAGACCAGTTGACCTCAGGTGCTGCGGTGCTTTTATGGATCTATTGTATTCTATCGGTCACGTGACTGAAGTGCTCTACCATGTGTACACCTGCGACATAAAACCCTGGGAAGGCTAAAGCAGGCCGCGCCCTTGTCTTTGGAATGTGCCCTTAACGTAAACTTTCAGCACGCCAGGTTAGCGCCTTGAACAACTTTTAACTCACGGTTACAACCCCGGAACCACATGTGGTGCATAATTGCCAATGAAAAAGCTTTGATATAGACAAAACGTGCACCGCCTTCGATTGACGGTTTCATACTATGAAAGACAGACAAACTATTCAGTTTAACGCTACCGCGTGCATTAAAAAAAAAGAGAAGGGGTACATTCCTATTTTAGCAGTCCAGTGACTTATAAGAGTTTAAACCAAAACTAGAAGATATCGCAAATCAAAACAGATTCAAGAACAAACCGTTTGCATAGTCGTTTGTACACCAGTTGACACGTTCCCTGTTGTCAATTTTTAAATTTTATTTTCTCTCTGCTTTGATTCCGTTCGCGATGAGCACTGAAAAATTAAAAAAAAAAAAAGACTTATAAGTGCGCCAAAGCTAAACCCGCTTTTGGGCATAGCGATGAACGCGAAGAACAATTGACAACATACCGGTCACAATGGCTTCTCTTCTCCCAGTAATGTAGTGCTGTCGGCGTGGTTAGGACTCGCAGAAAAACGGCCTGACAAAACAAAATCAAAGTTGGTTATTTTTTTTTTTTTTTTCCCGAGATGAACGATAAACTTTTAGCCGTCACAAGGGGCGACATACCAAAAAGCATGGCAGCAAATCCACGCAAAGGACGAAAATGGCGTCACCCCCTTCGAGTCGTCACCTACAACTCCCGCTTCCAAAAACTCTCGCGCACAAGTAGGAAAGAAAAAGTGGCCCTTGTTTGGGTTTTTACTTATCACGTGACACCAGCAACAGCGTGAACGACGATGACGTCACGAGAGACACTGCACCAGCTCCCCCTAGTGTACATAGCAGCCCGCGTGCACCGGACTTTTCACGGACCTATACAACCGCCCTTCAGAGAACTGCAGACGATCACGTGGTGTCCTGATGGCCGGTGATGCTCCAGTGAGGCCTTCCCCCTTTCGCACCAGCGGACTGAGCATGCGCATTTGGGTATGCGCAGTGAGTATGAGCAGTGGAGTGTGCGCGCTCTATTGTGCGCGCTTGCGGCGGAACCCCGATATCAAAAGAGGCGCGCTTTGTTGTGTTATGTGTTCCATGTGAGAAGACCAGAGCAATTCCAGTGCAAACTCGAGCACTGTTGCATTGGGTGGTGCTCGTCTGCAAAGCAGAACTGATTTTTTTGTTTCTGAATAGCATTTTTATTATAATTATTTATGTTTGTGTAGATCTTTTTTTTTTTTTTCATACAAACAACATTCTTCAGCGTTTACTAAATTCGTCAAAAGTATCTTAAGAGAAAAAAAAAATATAAAGTAAACGACTACGTCCGCTAGAAACTACAATTTTAACCTAAAATAATAAACAATCCTTGAATTTTGATTTTTGTTGATCGCAGCCTCAAATGGTCTATAAAGTTAACACTCAAACTGAAATGACAGTTCGGTGCAAACCGTTCTGCAGACCTGATGACCAAATTTAATCGGTATGTAATTTCCTTCACAAAAATCAGATCCCCACAGCATTGCAATAGAGTTGCTCTGGAGCGTTCATTCGAACACTTCTAGCAAGCGCGCGAGCAAACAAACAGTGTCCTCCTTTCTTCTAGTCCGTATTCGGATTTGCTGGTTCTTATCTCTTTTGGGCTGTTTTCTCCCTCACCGATTGTACATAGGCGGCTCTGTAGCGTGGAATTCTACTAATAAATGAACAACACGATTGTACAGCACTCACGGTGTGAAGCAGCGTCAATTCTTCTAATCCAACCTTTGCACTGATTTCTTTTTAAAATTAATTCTGCGATGCCTTAACCTTTTGTCAGCCAAAAAAAGCAGTTCTAATGGTGCGAAATAAATTCGGTTTAAACTCGTTGTTCTCGTTCAAAGGCCCGAAGACACATACATGACGGCGAGTGAATATATATATATATATATATATATATATATATATATATATTGATACATAGACGGTGACGAAGACAACGACAGGCCATCGGCAATGGCTCGTGCACACAGGCGCTGCAGCGGGCAGTTTTGAATTAAAACTATCGTTCAGAGGGCACCCCGTTCCCATCGCTTCTTCCAGCACCGTAACAATATATATACATATATATAGGCGACTTCAGCAAGGGTCTATAGGTCACGAGATGTGAAGTTTCCCCCTACATTTAGCGGGTACCATAACTGGTGTATAGTTCATGTGACGTCGATTTCCCGCTAAATTTTGCGGGGAAAATGAACTGATGTTTTAGTCACAAGACGTGAACTTGAATGACGTGTACAGGCTCACGTTATGCACCTTTGGTGGCGGCGACACCATGGGGTGCACTATGGGGTGAAATTAAGCGCAAGCTTGAATGCTTACAAAATAGAATTGCATCTTTGAGCTGCTCCCCTTGCGCACGCACGCATTGCGTTCGCACAACGCGCTGAAAGCAAGCGAGCAAACTAAAGCTCGACCGTTCTCGTATCACTGCGACAGAGCCGTCCGACGCAATGGTGCTTAAGGCGACGGCTCTTCGAACGAGAATGTACGCATAGGAAGGGCGGAAGCCAAAATATTCCAAACAACAAGTTTTAAAGGGGCCACCGAAAAATAAAAAAAAAAAAAAAAAAGATTAAAGCACGAGGAGATGGCGATCCGATATGGCTCGCATTCGCCGAATAGATCTTAAACGAAACGCACCCTCAGGCGGCCGCTATTTTCGAGGAGGACTAAACGAAAATTCTCTCGACAAAGATGTCAACCAAAGCATAACGTACAAATATTTAAAAAAAAGGCATATATGAAAACGCGAATCAAATCAAAACGAGTTAGAGGAAAGGGACAAAACGGGAAAGAAAGGAGTTTAGCTTCGGAGTAAAAAAGGGAACTTTACTTCTTTTTTTCTCGGTATTTTTCTTTTCTATTTTGCAAGGCGCCTGTCAAAAACGGGGAAGAAAGGTAGTGACTAGGGGAATAATATAAGCGAAAAAAGAAAACTACAAAGGACACAGTAAGCCTAAAACTAGAATTCGTAAAAAGAGAAAATTGACAGAACGACAGACAGACATCATCACGGCACCGCCGAACGCAACGGAGACTGCCCCCCGAGGAAGCGAGACGCGCGAATCTTCCCGTTCTTCTCTTCCTCCCAAAAAGAAAAATAATAAAAAAGGACTCCGTGAAAAGGATGCGGAAGGGAGGATGGAGGAAAAGGAGGAGGAGACACATATGGGGAGGATGAGGTCGGAGGATGGGGAGGCGTTAATACGGAGACGAGGTCAGAAAAGAGGCGCTGCTGCATCCAAGAGAGCTGTCAACGACAGCAGCGACGCGACGCGGCGCTCCCACTCACCACCCCCTCCCTCCCCCGTCTACACACCCACTTGGGCAGAACGCAAACATCCCACGCGATACCCCCTCCCCCACCAACCAAATAGAACTCTCCAAAGGAAAGAAAAGCGATTGAATAAAAAAAAAGTACGCAAATATTGGAGGGAGGAAAAAGGGTGAGTGGGGGAGGGTTAGAAGAAAAAGAAGGGCTCGGGCCATCCCATGCACGACGATTTGCACCCATTCGGCCGCGGAAATATGTTCCGCTCGGTCGCGCGCGCACGCGAGCGCTCCAAAGGCATATTGCGTTCACCCCCGGCCACTTTCGTTTTTACGCTTGTCTTTTACGTCATCGCGCGACGATGAAGAAGAGGGGAAGGAAGCTTCGGATCGAATGGCAAGGATGAGCCTGAAGAACGAAAACAAACACACAAAAAAAACGGAGTCACTAAACAAAAAGAGAAGGCTGAATAAACGCTGTATGGAAAAGGGTGGTGTGCAAGCGTCGAAAGCACCAACCTCTGCCCCTTCTTTCCCCCTGCCCTCTTCATTGTTTTCTCTCTCTCTCTGCTGTGCTTCTTGCTTTCCCTTCCCCTCGGTTCCAAGGTGTCACCGCCACGGACAAGGGATCGTCGTCACCGAAAGATGGGGAGGAGGCGAAGGGTGTGACGCCTATGAATCGGGAAAAGGGAGAGTGTGTTTTCTCCGATCAAAAGATTGGGACGCCGTGGTTATCATCGAGTAGGAAGAGCGTCGTCGGACTCGTATTTCACGCGCCGACTCTCCGAAGTAAGCTGGAGATTTACGGT